CTCCAGTGAGCGCTGGGGGGGGGGGGCTGAGCAGAGAGTGGTGACTGCCAGTCCTGCTCTCTGCTCAGAGCAGCTGTGAGAACTCAGTGATCAGCTGTGATGTGGTCACTGAGTTCTCACCCTTAGAGCCGGCGGGGGACAGATTCAGCATCTTATCTTAGTATTAGGGGGGCTGAGGGGGCAATACTTTAACCTAAACAATTTTTACCTTAATGCAAGGAATGCATTGACATAAAAATTGTTTAGGTTAAAGTATTGCCCCCCCCCTAATACTTACCTGAGCCCAATCCTGATCCAGCACTGTGCACAAGAGCAGCAGCCCTCTCCTCTCCTCCTGGCTCTCACAGGCTTTGCTGAGAGCAGCAGGAGCCATTAGTTCCTGCTGCTGTCAGTCAAATCCTTTGACAAGGGAGTGGGGGGGCGGAGCCTTGTCTCATGGTGGTGGACTTGGGAAAAGGAGGTTCGGGCCTCTCTGTGCAATTCCATTGCGCAGAGCAGGTAAGTATAACCACTTCACCTCTCACACCTGTTCACCCCCTATGGACAAGAGCAATTTTTACATTTCTGCTATGGACCTGTTTATTTGGCGATACCTTTTTCATTACTCAAGATAAAAATGTAAGGCATATATTGTTTTTTTAAAGACAAACAAGACTTTTTTGTCCATGAATATTGTCTTGCAACAATGATTTTTTATCTCAATCCTTAAGCAATTAAACGTAACAACTTTTTCTTTTTTTGAGCAGTGCTAGTTTAAAAATAACTAGTCTTACTGCACATAAAAAGGGCACATTTAATTCTGTAATTTATCCTGTTTTAAAATGACAGTAAAATTATGATTCTGGTGCAAAGCATTGCAAAGTTATTTACAAATGAAATAAAGTGTACTTTTTTCAATATTGTGCTTTTTTAAATGTGAAATTTGTAAATATATGTTAAAGGTATAAAAATATTAACAAACAAAACAAACAAAAACAAAAAAAGTTTACATATTATTAGTTAATAAAATAGAAACTGACGAAAAAAAACACAGCAAGAAAATAATAATTGAATGAAGGAGAATAAGGAGTTAATTAGGGCTGATTATTGTAAACTATGGGTTAAAAAGGGGTTAAACAGAGGAACATTTAATTATGAAACAAACGCTTTTTTTTTGCTTTTCCCCTAGGTTCACACCTAAACGTTTTCTGCAGCATTTTGCAGAAACGCAGTATAGTCCATTTAACATGATTTCCTATGGGACATATTCACATCTGAGCGTTTTCACATGCATTTTTTGGAAAGGGTCAGAGACTTTTTTGAAAGCAAAAAGTTGCATTTTTGGTTCCATAGACTTCAATGGAAAAGCTGCAGAAAAGCAGGTATTGCATGTTTGATGCATTTTGCCTTTTGCATTTTAAATCTGCCTAGCAACAAGAAAAATTTAACAAAATGAAAAAAACTCCCCACAAAACTCATCGAAAACACAAGTGCAAAAATGCAATGCAGAAACGGTTCAAACGCAACCTGCATAGGTGTGAACCTAGCCTCAGGTTCCTTTCACATAGGCGGACCCGTTTAGCGGATTTGCTTGTTCAGCGGGGGATCTCTCTCAGCTGAGCAAGCAGATGACAGGTCTGTGTCCACTCCACTCCACTGCTGCAGAGCGGACACATGGGCGGTCAGATGAAAACGGATTACCTGTCCATTTCCATTCGACTTGATCCAACAGACGTAAGGGTAATTGGATCTCCATCCGTCCCTTTTTTGCAGGTCAGATGAGATTGGATGTCAGCGAGTATAAATGGACATATGTCTGTTTAGACCCACCACTCCATAGAGGAGAATGGAGATTCTGAGTGGGTCCACCTGAAAAAAACGTCAAGTGGACAGGATGGAATGTCCATGTGAAAGAGGCCTTAATCTGCCGATCAAAGTTCATCCATTTGAAACAATGTTTCTTTTGAGCATTGTTTTTGGTAAGCATTGCCAGATTGCTTTTCTTTGACAGCTCTAGCTGTCAGAACTTTCTAATGCACTCTTTGATTAATCAGAGCTGAATTGCCGAGTAGTGAGACAAGGGAGGTCCTGGCAGGAGGGCAGAAAGACTGGACATATTATACATGTCCTGTGTACAATTATGGCATTTTGTGGGGCGTATAACACATCCTGAGTCTGCAACTGGTTAAAGCTCTTTGTTATAAAACTAAATATTTAAAACTTTGCAAACACTTTAAGAAAGCTAAAGCTGAAAATATTGCAAAACTGTTATTTAATCCTAACCAAACATACCAATGTTGTTTTCCGTAGTGTTTTTATTTCTATTCTGCTTACTAGTGTATGCACACTGTACGCTACAATAATGGCATACCTCTGGGGAGAGCCGTCAAAGCCGTCAGCTCTCAACTGAACTAGAGGCTAAGATGGAATTCCTTGATAGATAGGTGGATAGTAGGGTTTAGTTGCCTTTTAAGAGTGTTGTGGACTTCAGTCAAGACCACTTGTTCTACGGTGAACAGAAAGATGTTTTTTGAAACATTCATGTATACAGACCTTCTCCAGAGAAAAAGGCCGAAAAGGTGTTATCCAACAGATGAATTTATACAGCGTAGAAAGCACATACAGGATTGGCCAACAGTAGATATTAGACAACTTTTGTCTGCATAACTAATTGGAATAGATTGCCAAGTATGGAATTCTACACCATAAATAAATATCAATCAGTACTGGAGAACCTTAGACATATGCTACCAGATGGTCATGGTCGTGAAAACATTCTAACTTTCCTATTTAATACCTCAAAGGTCTTGGAGAGTTCATGGCACAAGAGTGGCATTAACTCAGAATACCTATGGAGTAGGTCTTATTTACATGTCCAACCTATATATTATATTTTATTTGATAATCAGGTTAATTTCTTTATCAACAGCAACAGTTCTGAAGATTTAGCCCAGTAGGTGGTTTTTAAAGTAGGGGTCAGTATTTATGGCATTACATTCAATCGCCAACTGACAGCTTCACTGCCCACCTGCTGCTTAAAAATCTAAGGGGCAGGGTCACCAGGTAATGTCATCATATTGTAAATAGTAAAAGATATATGAGCGCTGGGTGACAACTGGCTAAATACAGGTGGGAGCAGCCAGCATGGAAGAGGAAACAACTCGGATCCTCCAAGTAATGCCAAAGATAAAAGTACAAATGCGGCGCTCAATATTAGTTACAGTGTGCAGATAGTATCTCACAGTATTAGAACTTAATAACACATGCGGATCAATGTGACTGCTGTGACACAGTGAGCAATAGCAAAATAAACTTTCGTGACTGTTGTGACTGTGGTATTGAATAAATAGCAACAAAGCTTATTGAATATAGTTCATGCGGAGTAAAATGACTATAAATGAACAGTAATATTCATAGCCTCTATGGCTAGAAGCAACGAGCATACTATATACCGATTGGATAGTATCCCATATGTCATAAACTGATAGGATATAGTTCGTGCAGATTAATGTGACTGCGGTGACACAAAAACAGCGGATAACTTTCGTGACTGCTGTGGCTGGAAACAATGAGTGTACTAAGCACTAACCAGATGGCACAGATAAATGTGCGTTGGAGTAAATAAGACCTACTCCTAGGTATTCTGGGGGTGGGAACTCAGCATGCAGATGTGATCATCAGGTGGAGGTACTTCTTTCATCCCAGCTGTCATCTATCCAAAGCAGGATTCCACGTCTCGGGTTTAACCGTGTTCAGCAGTACCTTTTATAGCCATCAGGGGGATCATACACGCAGATGGAAACCAGGGAAAGGATCCTTCAGGTTGAGAACTCTCGGTGCCAGATAAATGAGCCCAGAGAGAAAAGAAATCTGAGGTAGTCAGTAGGTAAATTAGTTAGCAATCCATGAGAAAAGGTATCTCCCTAACGCGTTTCGTGTAATAACACATTTTCAAAGGGTAACTACTTTACCTACTGACTACCTCAGATTTCTTTTCTCTCTGGGCTCATTTATCTGGCACCGAGAGTTCTCAACCTGAAGGATCCTTTCCCTGGTTTCCATCTGCGTGTATGATCCCCCTGATGGCTATAAAAGGTACTGCTGAACACGGTTAAACCCGAGACGTGGAATCCTGCTTTGGATAGATGACAGCTGGTGAAGTACCTCCACCTGATGATCACATCTGCATGCTGAGTTCCCACCCCCAGAATACCTAGGAGTAGGTCTTATTTACTCCAACGCACATTTATCTGTGCCATCTGGTTAGTGCTTAGTACACTCATTGTTTCCAGCCACAGCAGTCACGAAAGTTATCCGCTGTTTTTGTGTCACCGCAGTCACATTAATCTGCACGAACTATATCCTATCAGTTTATGACATATGGGATACTATCCAATCGGTATATAGTATGCTCGTTGCTTCTAGCCATAGAGGCTATGAATATTACTGTTCATTTATAGTCATTTTACTCCGCATGAACTATATTCAATAAGCTTTGTTGCTATTTATTCAATACCACAGTCACAACAGTCACGAAAGTTTATTATTGCTCACTGTGTCACAGCTAGAGATGAGCGAATCGAACTTGGCGAAGTGGAATTCGTTTCGAATATTAGGAAAAATTCGATTCGCGCCGAATCCGAAAATTAGCAAACTTTCGGATGCACGAATCGAATTTTCCCCGATCGGCCGATTTTCATCCCTTCTACAGCCGGCAAAAAGTGTCCCTGCAGAGAGCTCCGCTATTTCTGACAGTTCTCTGACAGTTCCTTCACATTTTACAGCGGTTGAAACATTGTATCTATTTGTTTCCATTTAGGATACAGATGTTTTTATTCGGAAACAAATAGATACAATGTTTCAACCGCTGTAAATGTGAAGGAACTGTCAGAGAACTGTCAGAAATAGCGGAGCTCTCTGCAGATACACTTTTTGCTGTACTGGAATTTTTCTTATTTTCATCCTACTTCTTCTTCTTCTTCTTCATCCTCATCCTCATCCTCTCTCTTCTTCTTCTTCTTCTTCATCCTCATCCTCTTCTTCTTCTTCATCCTCATCCTCTTCCTCTTCTTCTTCTTCTTCATCCTCATCCTCTTCTTCATCCTCTTCTTCTCTTCTTCTTCATCCTCACCCTCTTCTTCTTCATCCTCATTCTCTTCTTCTTCATCCTCACCCTCTTCTTCTTCATCATCCTCATCCTCTTCTTCTTATTCATCCTCTTCTTCTTCTTCTTCTTCTTCTTCTTCATCCTCATACTCTTCTTCTTCATCCTCATCCTCATCCTCTTCTTCTTCTTCCTCTTCTTCTTCTTCTTCCTCTTCTTCTTCTTCTTCTCATCCTCTTCTTCTTCTTCTTCTTCCTCTTCTCTTCCTCTTCTTCCTCTTCTTCCTCTTCCTCTCTTCTTCTTCTTCTTCTTCCTCTTCTTCCTCTTCCTCTTCCTCTTCTTCCTCTTCCTCTTCTTCTCTTCCTCTTCCTCTTCCTCTTCCTCTTCCTCTTTTGAAGCTGCTTCTGCTCCGCCACTCTGCCATTGGACTCTTGATAGTCGTCTCCCCACACTGCTGCTGGGGGGACTTTTTAACATAGGCCTCTGTATGGCCTTCAATTTAAGCTGCTTACGCTTCGCCACTCTGCCATGGGCCCCTGTACCGCCTCCTCATGCTGCTGCCAGGTCCAGAGTGTGTCATGGGTCCCTGTACGGCCTCCTCATGCTGCTGCCAGGTCCAGAGTGTGTCATGGGTCCCTGTACGGCCTCCTCATGCTGCTGACTTCATCGCCAGACTCTGCCATGTGCCACTTTCAGGTCTCCTTACACTGTTGGTGGGTTCCATTTTGTGATAGGGTGCTGTATGGCCTTCCATTGCTGCTGCCTCCACCGCCACCCTGCGCCATGTGCCTCTGTCGTCTGCTCATGCTGCTGACGGCTTTCGCTTTTTAACCAAGGCCTGTGTTTGGCTTCCGAATACTGCTGCATCCACCGCCACCCTGCGCCATGTGTCTCTGTTGTCTGCTCACGCTGCTGACGGCTTCCGCTTTTTAACCTAGGCCTGTGTATGGCTTCAGAATAATGCTGCCTACACCGCCACCCTGCGCCATGTGCCTCTGTCGTCTGCTCACGCTGCTGCCAGGTCCATACTGATTCATGGCCCCCTGTACCGGCTCCTCATGAACGTGGTTCAGCGGGTTTGCATCACTTAACGGCAAATCGTTGACAAATGCTGGGACGTTCAGTGTTGTGTGCATTAAGCCAGACACCAAAGGGCAGCACAGACCTGTTATTACTCGCTCAAGCATGGCTGAACAAAACCAGTCTCTACCACAAATTGGACCCAGACATGCCCAGGGTCTTGTAAGTAGATTGCATGGAGGAGTAGAGTTCGTTATTGGAATTAACTGTGAGGGACTTTTAAACCTAGGCCTGTGTATGGCCTTCAATTGAAGCTGCTTCTGCTCCGCCACTCTGCCATTGGACTCTTGATAGTCGTCTCCCCACGCTGCTGCTGGGGGGACTTTTTAACATAGGCCTCTGTATGGCCTTCAATTTTAGCTGCTTACGCTCCGCCACTCTGCCATGGGCCCCTGTACCGCCTCCTCATGCTGCTGCCAGGCCCGTAATCTGCCATGGGCCCCCGTACCGACTCCTCATGCTGCTGCCAGGCCCGTAATCTGTCATGGGCCCCTGTACCGCCTCCTCATGCTGCTGCCAGGTCCAGAGTGTGTCATGGGTCCCTGTACGGCCTCCCATTGCTGCTGTCTCCATCGCCACACTCTGCCATGTGCCACTTTCAGGTCTCCTCACACTGCTGGTGGGTTCCATTTTGTCATAGGGTGCTGTATGGCCTCCCATTGCTGCTGCCTCCACCGCCACACTGTGGCTCCACACTCTGGTTTTGGCCCCGTGACTGCCCAAATGAGTGAAGTGTGCGGTGATTCTAAGATCGACGGCACTCATCTGCATGTCATACTGACTGACAGTATTATTTCTCTTCCCCAGCAGACTCCAAGGGCATTTAAATTAAAGGTACAGTGTTCTGCACTAATATAAAGGCTCTCTGAAGCCTAGAAACCCTTTTAATAAGTTAAATTCGCAGCGAATAAATTCGCATCAAATCGAATTTATTCCGCAAATTCGGCGAATCAGCCGAATCGAATTTTTGAATAATTCGCTCATCTCTAGTCACAGCAGTCACATTGATCCGCATGTGTTATTAAGTTCTAATACTGTGAGATACTATCTGCACACTGTAACTAATATTGAGCGCCGCATTTGTACTTTTATCTTAGGTAATGTCATCAGAAGACCTTGCCCTCTTGCGACATCATGGAGAGGGGCATGTTGGGTCATGGATGACATAAGGGGGTGGGGTCATCAGGTGATGTCCCTGGGTGACCCTGCCCCTTCATTTATTTAGTGATGGGTGGGTAGCGGAGCTACCAGCAGCAGCCAAGCATCAGGTGCGGACTGGGCTTTTTTTTTTTGTGTTGGTCAGCTACGGGTATTAATTGCGATTGATTTTGGACTTTTTTTTTGGCATTTTTTTAATAAAGCACTTGTTAAAAACTGTCTCTGTGTTTTTATTTTCTTTGCCCATTTTTTTGGTGAATGAGTAGGGGTATTATGTACCCCATACTCATTCACATGGGGGGGAGAGCAGGATCTGGGCAGTCACTTGTTCAAGGGGGCTTTCAGATTGTGATAAGTCACCTCCCCTCATGCCCACAATCACCGGGCCAGTTTGTGGGGAAGAGGCTCTTGTCCTCATCAATATGGGGGCAAGGTGTTTTGGGGGGTGTTCCCCCAAACATCCCACCATGTTGGCCTTTTATGATTCAGGAAGGGGGATGTGTGCTCTTCCCCCCCTTCTTGGCCTGCCACACTGTATGCTCAGTTAAGTGTCTAGTATGGATTTTAAGGGGACCCCCACACTATTTTTTACAAAATTTTGGAGTGGGACCCCCAGTTAACGGAGGCTCAGGAAAATTAAAGGGGGTGAGCTCAGGACAGTTAAGCAGTGTTAATTTAGTTGCCGAAAATGTTTTCATCAAAATTTTTGTCAGCTGCATGTTTTCAGTGACAAAAACTAAATGGAAATAACATTTAGTTTCAATTCAGATGACTAAAATACGACTAAAACTAAAATGGCATTTTAGTCAAAAGACTATGACTAAAACTAAATCGAAATTTGACGTCAAAATTAACTGTGGTCAAAAAGCAATTTTCTTGTTTGTTTAAGAAACTTTATTTATAAAGGATAAGGATATACTGGATACTTGTTTTCATTATTTACAGAGAACTGTTAAAGTTTTTATATTCAGGTCATTTGTGCAATGGCATTACAGCCAATAGAGATTAGAGTTTTTGGCATTTTTTTATATTTTAAAGTTGCACTTCTGTTTGTCAAAAAGCATTATTTTTGCTTGTTTATGATACTGGACATTCTAGTCGACTAAAATGTACTGAAGATTTTAGTCAACTAAAATACGACTAAAACTAAACCAATTCAGGTTTACTGAAATTTTACTAAATCTAAAATGCCATTTTAGTCAAAAGACTATGACTAAAACTAAATCGAAATTTAATGTCATAATTAATACTGACATTAAGGGGGAGCTCAGGACAGAAATAGAGGGGCTGAGGATAGTTAAGGGTGGAGCTCAGGACAGTAACGGGGGGAACTGAAGACAGTAATGGGGGTGCCAAGGACAGTTTTGGAGGGGACTGAGGACAGTAATGGGGTGCTCAGGACAGTTAAGGGGGAGAGGTTAGGACAGTAATGGGGGAGGGCTGAGGACAGTAATGGGGGTGGCTCAGGACAGTAGTGGAACAAATCAGGACAGTTAAGGGGGGAGCTCAGGACAGTAATGGGGGGCTGAGGACAGTAATGAGGGAGCTCAGGAAAATAATGGGCCGACTGAAGCCAGTAATGGGGGGCACTAGGGAAAGTTTTGGAGGGGACTGAGGTCAGTAATAGGGGGCTTAAGACAGTAATGGAGGGGACTGAGGACAGTAATGTGGGGAGCTCAGAACAGGAAGGAGGGAGCTCAAGACAGTTCAGGGAGGGGTTCAGGATAGTAATGGGGGGACTTAGGATAGTAACATTGGGACTCAGGACAATTAAGAGGGAGCTTGGGATAGTAATGGGAGGGCTCAGCACAGTAATTGGGGGGACTGAGGACTATAATGGAGGGCTCAGGACAGTAACAGGGGGGCTGATGATATTGATAGGGTCACTGAGGACATTAATAGGGGCACTGAGGACTGTAATGGGGGAGCTGAGTACAGTAATGGGGGGCTCAGGACTATTAAGGGAGAGCTCAGGACAGTGATGGAGGGGTTCAGGATAGTAATGAGAGGACTGACGACTATAATGGAGGGCTCAGGACAGTAATGGGGGGGGCTGAGAATAGTAATTTGGGGGGGGCTGAGGACAGTAATGGGTAGGGCAGCCTATTCATTTTATTGAGAAACACAGGGCAATAATTCCCAAAGCTTTGTATAATGCATCGCATCAAGCTGCATGGTGCTGCAGCATCATGTGGTTTAGTGTGCTCAAAAATGTGTTGTAAATACGGATGTGTGGGGATACCTTTAAGAATTAAGTTCTTTTTTTTCCACCATTGTCTTTATTCCTATAAAAAGCCTTAGAAAGCTAGGGCACAAAACCTACATTTAAAGTGAACTAGACTATGCACACTACAATATTTACATATTGCAAACAATTAGTGAAAACACTTTTAAGTGTTAGCTCATCTTCACCTAGAGAAGGAAAAAGCACATTGCGCACATGTGCAGTTTGAACGGTTTGGAACAACCACTACTGAACTCAGCTGGAGCAAGGAGAGTGCACTGCACATGCATGCAGTTTGAGTAGCCTGGTACTGCTTCTGGGGGGGGGGGGGGGGCTCAAAATTGTAATTTCCAGCCCACGGAATTGGAGGGGGTTTGGGGGCCAGTATTTGTTGTAGACAGACCCCTCCAGTACCTGTGTGTACCATCAAGACCATATGAAATTGGGGGATATTTTGCTGAAGGTGAACTTACACTTTAAAGCAAGCACTCTCACTCTTTGTAGCCCTGTGGGTCTCTGTGGGTAGGGGTGCTGGGCTGTGTCCGAATGGCTGCTGCTCATCGCTGAGAAGAAACATGTTACAACAACTGGCCCCTGGCTCTGTTTGCAGTTGGAGGATAAGCTGCCAGGACCTGCCCACTCGAACTGTACAATGCACCTGGAGAGAATGCCTACTCTGTGATGTCATCTGGCCCAGAGGACCCAAACACACCCAGGACTGTCCACTGGGTCATCTCGTGATTGCCACCAGAGGTGGATCAGCGACAACCGACAAATGATCTGTGTCATACCAATTTCCAGTGGATGTGGTGGCGCCCTAGGCGGCTGCCTAGTTTGCCTCGTGGTAGCGCCGGCCCTGTTTACATGATGATTCCAAGAATGTGAGGAGAAGGAACCTGGAGAAACTATGCAGAGACCCTATTGGGTCAGTAGGTTGATGGATTACTGGAATTTGGAA